GAAAAATAGAGGATTTGACCCACATTTCATTGCATTTTATTATTGACTCAGTAAGTCATGGACTTTAAGTCTTTAAATTTATTCTACTTTCTCCATGTATATACCAAGAAAGTCCAAAATAAATTTTAAAAAATGGATTGTAGTTGATATATAGTGAAACATATAAAAGGTAAAAAGGACCTTTCCTGCCCTAAAGTTGAACATATATTGAGCTAATAAAAAGTAAAAAATGAAGATTAAGATGTTTCAGCTTCTGTTTATTAATTTGTGATTCGAAATGATATTTTAAAAGCGGTTTAAATCGAAAGAGTTTATCTGTTTATATGTTAAAATAAAAGCACTTTTAAAGCCTATATATAAATGTAATTTAAAAAACTTGAATAAGTCATATATACCTACTAACCCAATTAAAAGAACTTTTTATCATAAGTATGAAATACTGCTATTGAAAATTTGGCTTTTGTTTTGTTCCAAAATTCATATCAAACGATCATATTATGAAGAAATTAATCATCTGCATGCACAAACTTTTTTGGGATAGAAAGACTCATACCTTTCATTTCGCCCGGAGGTATGTAATTAACAGAAAGAAAATTCTTTATGTAACTGAATGACGTGAGAGATGAACACAATTAAGGTTTAATTTATAAGATTATGAAGAGTGATGTGTTTGTATGAATTATTGAACGTAAGAACTGGAACATCCAAATTGCGATGCTTTGTGTGAGGAGTGGAAAAAGATAGAATGTTGTGAACGTAAAAGACTCCACAAAGATGCCGTATGTATACAATGTTGCTTCACTCATCTTTAGCAACTTTTCAAACCAATCTCATCTTCACTTGTTTCCCATGTTCTTTTAGGGTTGATTTGCTTCATTCATGATAACAAATTCAACACAATGATATTTAATTTATATGCTCTTTTTGCTTGTTATGGAAAAGTTAATGTGAATTCGATTTTCGCAACCCATTAAGTGCATGTTTGGATTAGCTTTTGAAACATGATTCTACATTCTCTCTCCACGTTAGATATCAATTTTACGTGGAAGCAAAAAATTTTTGCTTCAAGCAAACGTGAAAATTCACGTTAGAGTTAAAAACCAAACATGCACTAAGGTTAGAATAGACTTCAAAATTCGAAAAGCACTTATAGGTTATTAATTAATTTATATATTTAAAAGTATTTATTTATTATAAATTTAGTTATATAAAATAAATATTTCTTATATATATGTATGGCAAAGGGTAAACTACTACTTTATTTTAATATATAAAAAATGAGTTGTAACAAAAGAAGAAAAATACTAAAGAATGATTCATTTATATTTAAGAAAAATAATTTAATTAACTCCAATTTGATAAAAGGAGTTCTACCTAAAACTCTAATTTTAATTAAAGAACACCAATCAATCGTATCTAAGAAATCATATCTAATTTTTATTTTTATTTTTTTCTTATTCAACTCTTAAGGTTTTAATATAATTATTTGTTTAGATATAAATCTAATCTAATTTATAATAAATAAAAAACAATTATATTTTTATCCCTAAAATTATATCATCTCAAAGAAATTTTTCCTTACATACGTGAATTGCCACAATTAAGACATTTTTGTGGATGGTGTAAAAAAAAAATTTGTGGAAAAAATTTGGGTCATTTTATAAACTACGAAGTAAATTTTGCTATAAAAAGTTGAGAACGAAATTTGACAAGATTGAATAAATTTTGAGAAGAAAAAAAACGTAATTGAGCCCGTATAAAATAAGATTAGGTCAATTTAATATGTAAATATAATATACCAATTTTAATATTATGTATAATTAAATGCGTATAAAATTAAAATTAAAATTTTAATCTACCTAACACCAATATAAATGCCTAATAATGTTCATTAATACTTATAAATAATGTTGATTTAATTCTAACAATTAATATCAACTTTTCTTTAGTTTTTAACTAATTTAACCTTTTTTAGTGATTTTTGTAATTAATTAAAATTTAGTTGTTATTATCTAATTATATCATTAATCTTTCTTTTTTGATTGTTCAAAAAAGATTTGGAGCAAGTAAGGAAAGAGAGAACCCATGAAAGTGAGGAGGAAAGTACTTAAAAGACCCCTCTTAAGATCCAAATTACATAAGGCACCATTTAATCCACTCACAATGAAGTTGAACTACTACATTTATCCAAATTACTTGTGCCTAATGTAGCTTTGGTAAAGAACTTCTACTCATCTCATGCCCAACATAGTTTTGGAGAAAAAAAAAATTTATACTCATTTTGTGTGTTTGTGCTTTGCATAGTTTAGTTCATACTGCACACTATTTTAATAATATGACAATTTTTTAACATTTTAATGATAGATGTAACCAACAAAACTCTATTTAATATGTATTTATATATATATATATATAAAAGAAGAAGAGATCCATTTACTCAAAAATTAATAAACTTACTTTGTTTAATAACTTACACTTTGTATTAAATTTTAATGATTTAATCATTAAATTCAAATTTTTTAATGTATAAATCAAATGTACAAATTTTTTAAAAAAAAATTAAATTATGTGATACTTTATTTCATTAATTCAAATTGACAGATATTCTTTCGTACTGGATGCTGAACTCGGACAATTCTACCGACCAGGCTATCATCCGTACGGCGAGCTCCAATTTTCTCAGGATCTGCTTGATTGGGTAGTCGATCTTGACGACCACTTGGTGGCTTTGGAAGCTTTTGAACGCCTCCTCGCATTGGTCTGTCCACTCGAAGTTCTTTGGCTTTCGTAGCAGGGTGAAGATGGGCCCTGCCTTGTCCGCCAACCTGGGGATAAAACGGGAAAGGGAGACCAACCTTCCTGCCAGACGTTGGACATCTTTCACGGTCTGGGGGCTCTACATCTGAATGATGGCTTTGCACTTTTCCGGGTTGGCCTCGATCCCCTTGCTAGTGATCATGAAACCAAGGAACTTACCTCCCTGGACACCGAAGACACACTTCTCTGGGTTGAGACGCATGTTGTGTCTCTTGATCTGGCTGAACACCTCAGCGAGGTCGGCAGCATGGTCCGCGGCCGAAGTGGTTTTGACCACCATGTCGTCAACATAGACCTCCATGTTCTGCCCGATCTGCTGGTGGAAAACCTTGTCCATTAGTCGTTGGTAAGTGGCCCCTGTATTCATGAGACCGAAGGGCATCACTCGGTAGCAGTAATTGGCGTGATCGGTGATGAATGATGTGTGCACCTCGTCTGGTGGGTACATCATGATTTAGTTATACCCAGAGTAAGCATCGAGGAAACTAAGGAGGGCATGCCTGGATGCTCCATCGACCAGCCTGTCAATGCTCAGCAAGGGGTATGAGTCCTTGGGGCATGCCTTGTTCAAGTCGGTATAGTCGACGCACATTCGCCACTTCCAGACTAAATATAAAGCCGTGTTTGAAATTGTTGATAGAAGATGGGATGTTCAGCTTCATCGCCCATTACATGCAGCTGGTCATTTTTTGAATCCAGAGATGTATTATGACAACCCTCAAATGGAATTTGATAGTGAGATTATAAGAGGGTTTTATGCAAGCATGAATAAGTTGGTAGGAGATTTGCAAGTGGAGCAAAAAATCATGATGGAGCTACACACTTATAAAGTTGCAGGAGAATTGTTTGGGACTGAACTTGCTATAGCAATGAGGAAAAAGGTTTCACCGGGTTAGAAACTAAACCTTGAGTTTTAAACTTCTATTCTACTAATTGTTCCATATTTAACACACTTTCTTTTGACTTTATAGCTCAATGGTGGAGACTTTATGGTTCATCAACCCCCAATTTACAACAACTAGCCATAAAGATATTGAGCTTGACTTGTAGTTCATCCGGTTGTGAACGTAATTGGAGCGTCTTTGAGCAAGTAATTAATTTGCTTTTGAAGAGTCTTATTAGTTCCAAATATTTTAAAATGTTTACTTAATTATTTAATTTAATGTTGCAAATTCATACTAAGAGAAGAAATAGGCTTGATCATAAAAAATTACATGACTTGGTCTATGTTAAGTATAATCAAGCACTCATGCGAAGATACAACCTTAAGGATGAAGTTGATCCCATTAGCCTTAATGATATTGATGAATGTAATGAATGGCTGGTTGGAGAGATGGATGGGGATGATGATGATGAAGTTGAAGCTCTAGATGAGAGGGTTTTTGGTGGAAATGATCCACTTACTTGGAATCAAGTTTATGATGCTTCAGGGGTTGGAGAGCCTCTAATGTATACTAGGCGTAACAAAAGGAAGCAACCTCCAAGTGGGGAAGGAGCATCATCTAAAAAAGGCAAAGGAGTGTCTTCTTCAACTAGGAAAGGAAAAGGAAAAGTTGTTGAAGTTGTTGAAGAAGATTCAGAAGATATTAGTGAGGAGTTAGAGGAAGAATTTCCAAATATTAACTTTGACAATTCAGAAGGTGAAGAAGTTGAAGGCTATGCCCCTTTGGCATTCAATGAAGAGAATGATTACATTGAGGAAGAGGAGGAGAATGATGATGATGAGGAGGATGATTAGATTAGCAAAATGCTTCTTGTACTCTTGTTTTTCTATGTTTTTTGTTGTGTTTTAATCAATTATGTTATGAGACAATGAGTTATGGTATTGTTGTTATGATATTTAAGTATTTAAGTTGATATTATATTGGTTTTAATTTAGTTTTGTTGCTTGTTATTTATTGTTTTGCTGTTTTTTTTTGTATATAATATATATATAAATATTTTTTTTTATTTTTATTTTTGTCCGCCATGACGTCCGCCATAGTCTGCCATGGCATCCGCCATAGAGTTATAAAGGATTTCTGGCCTCACCGCCATAGACTGTTATTCGCCATCGATAACCTTGGTGAGATATCACTTACATATATAGACCTAACAAATCTAACCAACTTGATGAGTTGGCAACTCTTAACAGAAAACAGAAAATATACAATATCAATACAATAAAATAATAAAAGTATTTATTATCCTAGTCTCTTCTCTAATACACCCCCCACAAGCTCAAGGGGATGAAACATAGCAGATGGATCAGCAACATTGAGCTTGGAACACAGAAACAAAAATCTTTTGGGCGACAGTGCCTTGGTTAAAACATTTGCATATTGATGCTGAGCAGGGACATGCGAGACAACAAGAGCTTTACTGATGACTTTTTCTCGAACAAAAAAGATATCAAGTTCCATATGCTTAGATCTTGAGTGTAGAATTGGATTGTGAGACAGTGCTACTGTGCTTTGATTATCACAAAGCACTATAGGAGTGTTTAGGTGAACTTTCAGTTCCTTTAGAAGGGATTGGATCCACAAGACCTCAGTTACTGCTTGAGCTAAAGCTCGATATTCAGCTTCAGTGCTTGACCTTGCAACAAGCAACTGTTTCTTGGACCACCAAGACACCATATTAGGACCAAGGTAAATGCAGGCTGCCGAAGTAGATCCCCTATCATTGGGATCAACTGCCCAATCAGCATCAGTAAAGGCTGTAAGATTGAAGGAAGAAGTTGAGCGAGCAGGAGCAAACACCAAACCATGTTTAATAGTTCCTTTGAGATACCTAAGTATCCTTTTAACCACTTTCCAATGTTCCTCCATTGGAGAGCACATGAACTGACTCACCTTATTAACACTAAAAGCAATCTCAGGTCGTGTAATTGTGGCATATTGCAATGCACCAACTACAGACCTATACAAAGTAGGATCATCAAACAAGGTTCCCGCTTTAGCAAGTTGCTGACCACCAATCATAGGAGTGGATATTCCCTTAGAGTCTTCCATTTTTACCTTGGTAAGAAGATCAGAAATGTATTTTTGTTGAGATAACAGTAACCGCCCGTCAGAGAGTGACTTGACTTCAATACCCAAGAAGTAGTCCAAGGTACCAAGATCTTTGAGAGAAAAAATTTCATTGATACTCCAGCGACTCCAGTGCAGTTGTCAACTCTGTCCATGTTTTCACTGCCGAAAGACGTTGTAACATTTGAAACCATGGTACAACATCCTTATCAAAGTGAATTGCAGCAATATCCACTCGATCAGCATCTGGTGTGTGGTGATAATCAAAAAATTTTTCAGCCTTAAAAATCCACTCCAACACCGAAGAATGGCCATCAAAATGCGGAAAACCCAGGGAAATGTCTTTAACATGGAACGCATTACGTAATGGAGTGCCTCCACAATTCGAGTTGGTCGACGGAGAACCACTATTAAACTGATGTTGTGAATGTGTTTGCACGAGTCGGTCCAAAGATTGCTGGATCAAATCCATGCGAGATTGTGCTTCATTTTGGACTTGTTTAGTATGAGCGCGCTGTTCACGATCGCGAAGCTCCAAGAGGTCCATCAACTTCTTGATATCCGCCGCCTGACCACGAATTTCAGTTTGCAATTCTTTCAGACGAGTGTTCTCAGCCATGGCGTCAATGAAAGCACCAATGAAACAGTATTTTTATAGTATAATGATCTATAAACAGCAACTGAATAGTCTGGAATTGAAATGAATATATTCGGAATGAAACAACAAAATAATCTCAACAACTACGATTCAAAGAAATGAGACAACAGTTATTGAAATTCCAAATGTTCGTCAGCAACCACGGCCATGCAGAACCTGATCAAAATGATGAGAAGAAAGTTTAGAATTGCCAGAAAATGAATAGAGAGCTTCAGAGAGAATTGAGGAAATCATACCACACACACGTCCCATCACTGCACAAAGTCCTTCCATAAAACATTCTCTCTCCGTTGCCTCACGCTTTTCCTAAGGCCCTCATCTTGCAGATCACTTGCCACGTGGTTTTTTTGCATAACAACCTTTCCCTCCTTGTTTTGGTCCGTGGGAAATAATCCGTGGAAAATTTGACTTTTTTTTGTAGTGTTATAAAAATATTTTAGACAATAATTTAAATATACCAAAAAGAAATTTACCTTTCCCTAACATGATTTTTATTTCTTTTATCAATAAAAATTAATTTATGAAATATTATTTAATCTAAAATAGTGTACGAATGTATTTATTGTCATGTATTGCACAAGTCTTTTGAAAGACAATATTTAGTAACCATTAACTATTTAAATGATTGTTACGCTTGTCAAATTTGCTTAACAATATGATATTTATAAAATATTATTAATTTAAAATATCTTATTATTGAAATATAGTTATTATTGAAAAAAAACATATTTTTATCATAATTTAAAATAATGAATTAGATTAAAATAATTCAGAGCATATCCTAAATAGGAGTTTCTCTGGGCATCTTATTTTTTTGTCAAATTTTGTATTATGCACATGATCAGATTCATCATTTTGAAAATTAAACTCTTGAACTATATAATAATAACATTACTATTACTATTATTATTATTATTATTATTATTATTATTATTATTATTATTATTATTATTATTATTATTATTATTATTGACTTCTAAAATTTAAATAAAATAAAATATTGACTTTTAAAATATAATTTCCAGAAGTTAATTTTTCTTCAGTTTTGAAATTTAAAATGTAGAACTCAATTTTGTACATTCCGAAAATTGAATTTCCAGAATACAACTGGTAAGTTGTTATTTTAATTTTGGGTGATTGTCATTTTCCACTCCACATATAACACAAAATCTCCATAGGAAACACGGAGTAGTGAAGCAATTCATTCACTCACCTGCTCCTGAAGCTCATATAACAGTCATACAGCACTCTCCAATGTAAGGTGCTTGTCGCAAAAATATTGGACAACTCACATGTGATTCAAAAATAAAAAATATATGAAATTCTTCAGTTCTATTTATTGTGGTGTTACCTTCACCACTTGTCCTTGTACAATTATGTATAATTGCTCCAACAGCTCCAATTCTCATGAGAATGTAATCCAACCCATCAGCCATTGTCCTTGAATATGAGGTTGAAGAGGGAGAAAGAAAAGTATATTTTTTTTTTTTGTCAAAAAATACTATCATATTTGATATATTGGTTCAAAATTTATTAAAAATTACATTTGATATATTTGATGGTCTTGCATCAGGCATTTAATGAGTTTTTAGATTTATTTAGTGTTAAAATTCAACAAAATTTATTATTTTCAATAATTTTTAATTTTATATTGAGTGCCACTAGTATCCCAAATCTGAAATGTACTCTAAAAAAATATACTTGAAAGGTAAAATATACTCTAAAACGTACTTTTCAAAAGAAAAAATATGTTTTCATGAAGTACTTTTTGTAAGACACATACTTTCGGAAAGAACTTTCTAAAAGAAAAATATTTTTTTTTCTCTTTTGGAGAGTATGTTCCAAAGTATATTTTAAAAATCAAAAAACACAATTTTAGGTTAGTAATAATAAAAAGATATATTGTTTCTAATCAATAGTTTATGGTAAAATTAATGGGTCGTATATTTAGAAACAACGTCTTCATAAAATTCCCAACCTTATATGCAATGTATGCAAATATTAAAGATGGAGCTAAAAACTAAGATTTAAAAATGTTAAAATTATGATTACAAAAAAAATAGGATTTAAAAAATAATAAAGAAGATTCTGTGTGTCTTGATTGTTGAAGAGAAAAAATCAAGAAATAAAAAGGGAGGTGAACACAAAGAGATTAAAAAGAAATAGAGTAGCAAAAGAAAATAAGTGAAGAAAGAGATAGATGAAAAAAATAACTTTTAGAAATAAATTTTATTTTAAAAAATAAATTAAAAGGGTATTTAAGAAAAAAAATAAAGGAGTGTATTTTTTTTATCCAACGAAATTATAAGGACGACAATAAAATTCAATCCTAAAACCCTATACAAACTACCCCTAATCTCTACCACCAAAAAGAAAAGGTGTATATAACATTTTCAAAAGGAAAATCCCAAAAGCTTAGGCCAACTCAAACATTCTCATTATATATTGAATCAAATTTTTAAAACCCAAATCCACTAAAATTATCTTTTAATTTTAATCGGGTTCATAGAACCATATCAGGCATGATCACCTCAATTGAAATGGCTGAGATAAAGATGACAAAAGCAAAATAGGGTTATTATCGACTGATCATGGTGTGAAAATGCTGGTCTGACAGTGATGAATTTGAATATTAAACAACATGAAGAATCTTGAATTTTTCTAGTTTAAAGGGTTGGTTCTAATTTTCATGACTATCGCATGATTAGCTCAAAAGCCGGGTGAAACTCACTCAATATGTGTGATGATTTCTAATGTAGAAGTGTTTCATTCACTCTCTCAAATTAATTACAAGGAACAACTGTACTAGTAGTCTTAAAATTAAATAATCTTAGTTTTTATTCATTTCATTTTAGTGACTTTGATACAATCGTTTGATAATTATGCTAGCAAAGAGTCCAATACATAAAAGCATGTAATCACTTGTGTTTTTCCTAGCACGTCAGGTTGAAAGCATCACACAACATGAACTGTCAATAATATACATATGAAAATTGATTTCTTTCTGGAATTCTGTACACACCATTCAACCTTAAAAATACATACATCTGTAAGGTTCTGGCCTCACGACAAGAAAATAAAACAAAAAAATTGAAGTAATCTTCAAAGCAAAACATTTACAATGACTCATTCGCAACAAGAAGATGATGCCAATAGCCAACTTTAATTTCTTAATATGGCTGAGAACTTCTTCCGATTACATGCTCTGAATGTTTATTTGGCACAATCCGAGAAGGTGATGCTGTAATTCTCTCTCAAATAATTTCACCTTCATCATCTCCAAGTAGAGAGAGAGAGAAAGGGGCAATTGCCACATTAAATGCCCTAGGACCTACTCGATCAACATGAATCATCTCAAAGTCACCTTCCTGCATTATAGGAGATGAGATTTAAGCATCTGATTTTCTATTCAATGGGAAGACAAGAGATCTAGAAATATTTGAAAGTTGAAATCAATAATGAGTCACACTAGCAACCAATTATTCAAAACTTCGAGAAGTATCAAACGAGGACAGTCATAACTTTCCTCCCTTTTATGCAATTTCTACTCTGAGAATGCAACTGTTAATATTGTATAGCAGTTCATTCCATAGTAATATGAAAGTAGTCATGAAATAATTAAAAAGGATGCAGCCATTAATCTAAATTATAGAAGCATGTAGATCATTTCCTTTAAATTCAACTAGGCCTCCACTCCTGCTTTTCTTTTTTTCTTAGCATGATCCGTGGGAAGCTGATTATGAAAATGATGTTAGTTCTTTGATTTTATTTCACAGCAACATAGAACCAATTAAGACTTAAATGTCAGAATATGTTTGTCAACACTGATACTTGCCCAATACTTATACAACACCTGTCAAATCCTTCTCATTGAATGTTAGAGTTAAGACCAATGTTCATGTCAAAGTTTCTGCTTTAGTTTTATAGGATTCCACCTTACTCATGCCATCTGAACCTCAAATGCATTTATTTGATACTTGTGATATTACTAATGCCTCTGATGAAGAAATTCAAAACAACTTTTATTATCTGATTTCATGAAGGTAAAAAAATGTATTTTTTTCACTATGTAAGGTGATTTCATGAAAAAATAAAGAACACAGAGAAATTCTTACCATTCTACCATTTTGTGTGTTTAATGGACATGTGGAAGAGAATTCAAAAGTAGACCAAGGAAATATAGCTGGCTGTTCACCAACAACACCAATTCCCCTGCATGCAAAAAGAAGTAGAGAGGTTACATTAAACATGAGTATTAAAAGAAATGAAAAATACCATTAAAGTATAAAGAACATGGATAGTGAGGATAAGAGTAATTAACTCACCAGAAATTTTCAGTTTTCCCATTAGCATCAGTTATAATCCAATGTCTTCTGAGAAGTTGAACAGGGCGGTTCGTGTTATTGGTAATTTTGATTTTATATTCAAAGAAATATAGCTCCTCTGAATGTTCACTTCTGCCCTCTATGTATGCACTCCTAACTTGGACCCGGATTCCCTGAACAAGTTGTAAATAAATGGTAAAAATTCGTATTTTTACTTTACAATTATATGATGTCTCACATAAAATATGAATTTATGATTTCTTTCCTTTAGGAACTTGTAGGAATAAATATATTTTTAGAAGTGTGTTTGGATTGAAATACTTAAGAGATTAATTCATGGTTGTACCTATCTTGAACAAATGTGAAAACTGTGGGTTCCTTTGAACATTGATTTTTCAGGAGAGCTACTAAACATTGAACTATTCATTCTATTGATGCAGTTAACTTAAAACAATGCCTCAAGTGTTTATACCAAGAAAGAACTATCTATAGTTCACAGAAAAGTTGTTGTTAATAGAAGTAGTATCCCTACCAATGTTGTAGCATCACTTGAGCATTTTAAGAGAGAATGTGGGGCAATTGCTTTTAGCTCATCACGATATCTAGCTGCGTCCTGCATATGAAGAAAAAAGGTAAAACAGGTTATCAAAATGCAGTTTAGGAAGAATCATATAGTATTACAGAAAAATGGAAAACAAACCATATTTTGACAATTTGAGATATGTGCTTATTGCAAACCCAGGCTTAAAAGAAACAATCAACAGTAACATACGAAAATAGTCCCTAAACTTGAGAATTTCGTCAATTGAGTATTTAAAATTACAAATTTGTCATGAATTTACAAAATTTGGTCTCTGACATCAAACAACAATTATAATTACAAAAATAAGGACTAAAATGACATTGTTACAGTTTTAAGAACTAAATTTACCAATGCCTATGATTTCAAGAACTAATTTTCCTTTTCTTTTTAAAATTTGTGATATTGCTTGTTTTTGTGATCGAAGTTTTTTATGTTTGCTGGTGATGTTTTAAGGATATGTTCTATGACCTAAACATGAGGGTTGGGAGTGATTTTGTGTTGTTTAAAGACTCAAAGTTTTACCTGTCTTCCTCTTTCTTCTCAACCAGATAGTTAGGAAACATGACAAGTTTACCAGCTTTTTACATTTGTTAGACTATGATCTTTTGTTTCTGCTACACAATGTTCTTGTTTTGTTTTTTTACAAAGACAGCAAAAAGGTTAAAACATAGAACTGTGGTTTTAAATTGCAGCCCGCAACTGTAATCATAAGCAAAGCATAAAGTTTTTTCAACTCACTGCAAACACATCGTGACCGGAACTGCTGCTGCATTTTCCCGCAATGCCAAATATTGTGATGAAACTATGACTTCAGCTTCAATCGCAATTTAAAATCATAGAACTTTGCATATACTAAGCAAACCTCCTATCACTAGGCTAACGCTAATTGTTTTTTTGCTACACAATGGTCTAATACACATTTTTCAAGTAATGCATATTAGGATAAAATGAGTATTTGGTCAAATCAATGAATTTAGTTCTCACATCTTTGAAATAGGATGGAATCAGCCCCTCATACCATGTGGTAGACACATGGTTGCCAAGTGTCAATAGTTAGCTATGTTAGCAAACAATGCTAACCATATTAAGGAAATGTTTGGACAAGCGTTTCCAGAAGTACTTTTAAGAGGAAAAAAAAAAAAAAAAGAAGGAAAATCAAAATAAGATTTTTCTATAAGCTAAAATTAACTTGCATGAGTTAATTTGTAAAAACTCTCTGTTATTAGTTTCTCCAAAATCTTATTTTTAACTCATGCATAAGTTAATATAGTTTATAAAGAAACTTATTTTATTTTTCCCACCTATTTTTCCTGTCTAAAAATGCTTATGGAGAAATTTACTCAAAGACCCTAAATAGTTCTGAACCACGTAGTCTCTAATTATTCTCTACTCGAGTGTCATTAATTTTTCTCGTAGACTGAAAGTTCTCACTACATGTCATGCATGTAAAAGATTTGTTAGATCCAAAACTATAGGCACTTTACAATTTTGAACTACTTAATAATTTCTCGACATCATGGCCTAGGAACCAATTCCACCAATTTTCAGAAACGCAAGGACGAAATTCATTTGATTTTGGAGATGGAGTGAGAATAGATGGAACTAGAACACATTTTAGCCAAAAGAATATGATTGAAATGAAGATGAATATTGAGCAACATAATAGGCACCTGAAACCTCTCATCAGCAACGGCTTCCTTCAACAATCTCCTTAGACGCAGAACAGGCACCTCCTCTTCGATGCACTTGAGCGAGTCGCGAATCCTCGCCGCTTCTTCGTAATACTACCGTTTCAAATTCCACAAAATAAGAAGCCTCTCTCCAAAACACCCACCACCAACGAGCCACATTAATCAAAAAAAAAAAAAAAAAAACACTTCCTCCTTAACCAAAAACAAAAACAAGAACAAAAACACTAACCTCGGATTTCGCCGCCACCTCCATCCGGTGCTTGAGGATCGCGTAATTATGGCTCGGAGACAAAAACGAACCGTTGGAACCTCCGGGCGAGCCGGTTCCATCGGTCCCGTTCCTCTCCGAACCGCACGAAACAATGGCGCTGCTCCAATTCCTGCGGTTCGGACAACTCACGCGTTGCGTCCTCGTAGTCCTCGCCTCGGGGTTCGTTAAAACCGCTAACCTCGAACCCACGCAAGTCTTGGCGCTCAACGACTGCATTGTTTCGCTTCAATTTTTTTTGTTTTTTTTTTGGTTTTTTTTTTTTAGGGTTTTGTCTGAATAAAATCCACAATCAAATGAGATTATGAATATGGAAATCGGAATGATTGGGTTTGGAACTTCTTTATTGCCGTACAAGGGAGTCGCTTTACCACGCTTTCTGTGGGTTCTTTTTTTTTTTTTTTTTTT